GTCGCGGGTTCAAGTCCCGCTGAGGTCATTGGATTTTTTTTAACTTTACCTAATACTTCCAGTCGCACTAAGACCCTGGGTTCGACTCAGCCTCTAACAGAAATGAGTACCAGGAATTAATTAAATAATTTTCCTGGGGAGTAAAGCGCGGCCGACGCGTAAGGCCGACAACCTTACCGCCATCTTTGAGCCGATTGTCTAGATAAGGTGGGACCCTCAACGTCTCACAACCCTATGGGCCATCACAGCCTGTTAAAGGGATAGCTTTACTTTCCTTTTTACAATTGATCCCCCAGCTGACAAGGAAAGTGTGTTGAAAAAGATCAGCAATCAACGTAGCATTTTCAGAAAGGAACGGAAGAAAGTACTGATGGCTAAGAAATCTGGAATGAGTAGCGTAGACCTCTATTTCCCGAAATTGTTGTACTACACACAATACACACGCGATAGCTGCATATGAACAGTTCATCAATTGTAGACATGTTTCAACAACTAAACAAGACTGCACTGCACCCGGCAACATAGGCTTGAAGACTGTGATTGTGGCATGCAGCCTGCCGCTTTATCTGTCACAGTTTTGCCTGTAAGGTCGATCGGAAGGCGAAACTGTGTGTGTATGGGGGGCCTTAGACTGTGTTTCAGCAATATAGGCTTGAAGACTGTGACTGTGGCGTGTAGCCTGCTGGTTTATCTGCTCGTGTATGGGGAAGGAAAGCGTCAGGGAAAACTGAAAATTTTGCCTGTAAGGTCCCTTAGACCCCCCATACACACAGTTTGGCCTTTCGATCGACCTTACAGGCAAAACTGTGACAGTTTACCCCCTCCATTTCCTCCTCATACATGCGCAGATAAAGCGGCAGGCTTCATGAAACAATCACGGTCTTCCAGCCTATAATGTTGAGTCACACACGTCACGTGCTACGGTCCTGCAGGCAGAACTGACGGACTGACGGTTTTCCCATAGGCCAACAGTCCAAACGATTGGCCGGCCGGCCGCACCACACGTCAGTTTTGCCTTTCAGTCTTCAACTGTGCAGGCCGAACTGGAGGCCAAACTGTGTGTGTATGGGGGCCCTTAAACAAATTAACTTGACGAATCATGGAGAATGGCCGCGTGTGAAGTGAATTCCAGATCTGCAACTGAATTCGGTGATTGCACCGTATAGTAAGGTAGAACATCAAGCGGTTAGTCGCTGGCTTCCCAAACGCGGCGGCCCGGGTTCGATCCCGGGTCTAGTCAAATGGGATTTGTGGTGGACAAAATAGCGCTGGGGCAGGTTTTCTCAGAGAACTTCGGTTTTCCCTGCCAATCTTCATTCCACCAAATTCTTCATCATCATAATCACCTGGGGCAGGTACAATAGGCCAATCAGTGGCCGCCGTTGCGAGTGGACCCAGCTGGAGGGTAAAACATTCAAACAACAATAAGACGGAGGTGAGCAATTTATTTCGACAATAAGGCATCCCGTATTCTGATAAAATGCGAAACCACATCTGTACAAACAGAAAGCAATTCTCGGGCCGTCTTCCAAGAAATTTCCAGTGAACCGTATATATTCTATCTGTAGACTGTCCGACGTCATTTCCCCGCGTTCATCACTTTGCATAAAAGTGCAAGGAGGAGACCTGAGAAACTTTACTGCCGTGTTGGTGAGCATGTTAGCAATGAGGAGAGATGAAGCATTAGCCTATCTGCGAGCAGGCCGTTTGATAATTAGTTGCAAGGGGCAGACTGACTGAGGAATGTGAAATATACCGCGTCAGGCAGCAGTGTAAGATCTCGCAATGTTTGGAGTCTCTCTGGAACATTGCGCGGGATAAAGATATAAAACGATCGGCGATTAGCAGGGCAAAGATACAGGACTCCCCGTGTGGAGGCGGATTAGAATACCTCCACCGTAGCCCTGCGAGTCGTAGAAGGCGACGAAAAGGGAACCCAGTGCCTGGGGGTATAACGGAGCCACCGTGTTCCTGGTTGACATAAATACAGAGACATGGACTGCCAGGATGGAGGTTGGACTCAAGGCTGACGATCTTGCTCTGCAATAAAATTATTGTTGCGAAATCCAAAGAAGAGAAAAGTGCATAAAATCTGTCAGAATCGTATAAGGAAAGCTATGGCTAAGAAACGGCTGTTTTACCAAATGATGATGATGATGACCAGACACAGGACAGAATTAAACTCGGGAACTGAAAGGATACGGTAAAAGAATTGAGAGTAGAAGAAAATGGAAGGGTTTCCTGAAAAGATTTGTGGCATTGATAATTGCCACGCCTGCAGAAGGAAGCGTTGAACTGTCGGACTATTCCTTTCTTAAGGAAGGCCGATAGAGCAGTCTGCTGCCAAGCCGACAATTCTATTGGAACCGAGTATTCCGGGTTACCGTATAGCACGACGGTATTCTTTTGGTCGACAGGGAGTCTGGGCAAATAGAGTTAAAACCAAGTAATTTGAGTTAGACATTTTCGCCGCTATAGTTATCAAAGGTCCTGTATAGGCTGACCTTCCTAGGGCCCCAATTCCCTTGAGGGACGGACCTGAGTACAGGTTATGTAGCTGTCAAATTACGACCATTATTCTATTCTTAAATAAATTATATAAATAACATGTGAATACTGACTGGGTGGGAGTTCTGAACGCGTGCCATTGTGTACTCCTGTGAAGGTGCTACAGCGTTCGCAGTTGCTGTAAGCCGACTGGATGAAGAAACTGTGAAACTTCTCTTGCTCTTTGCTGACTGCGATATTGTAAGTTCCGCTAAAAAAAAAAAAGCTAAGATTCTTTTCTGTCATTTTTACTTGTATTTCCTTCCCAACGGATTTCTGTATTTCAGAGCTGCTTCTCGAAACATGTTTCGACAGTATATATTTAACTAAATTGTAAACGGCTCCCACCATTATAAAAAGTGAAGTTGTCCCTATGCTTGGCTAGTTAAGTACTACATCATGAAGACATATGGGGGTTCGGATGGCTCTACAGCCCTTGTGGACCTTGTCCGCTTTTTCAGCTTCTTAATCTATACACAGTCGGTAGGACTCCTTAGACGGGGGATCAGCCCGTCGCAAGGCCGCTACCTAGCACAAACACAGAATAAACGCACACAAACATCCATGCCTCGAGTGGGATACGAACCCATGACCGCAATGTTCAAGCGGGCGAAGACCGTTCGTGACTTAGACTGCGCGGCCACTGTAATCGGCGGAGTTGGTGTATAGTTACACGTTTTCTTGAGCTCAGCACTAGATGGAGATGAGTTATGGACTTCAAGCCCCGGCAGCTTTATCCCGGGAGAAAGAACCCATTGGATAGGAAGCTGGGTGGGCCCCAGAGCTGGTCTGGATGCTGTGAAGAAGAGAAAATTCTTGACCGTACTGGCACTCGAACTCCGACCATTCGGTCGTCCATCCGGTAGCCAGTCGCTATACCGAATGAGCTATTCTGGCTCCTTCCCATATTTTTATAATGTGAATATTGCAGCAATAGATACATATTTATCTTTGTGATAAACACACACTACATCGACGCTTGCAGAGCTTCAAGTACGTGATAGTGCATTTGGAAAGTGTGAGTACTCCGTCGGAGTACAGCACTTCGTTCCTCTCTTTATCCCTCTGCTAAGGAGTAAATTATCTTCTAATTTATGTCCAAAATGTTCGCCATTTTTCATGGTTTTCATAAGTTTAACTGAGCAGTGGCCATGCTGCCGAAGGGAACTACGGACTTTGACCTTGAAGATTGGAACCGTGGTTTGGAATCCTATTTGAGACAGTGAGGTAGAGTGTAGTTTTTGTGTGTCTGTGTTGTCCTGTATAGGTAGAGGCCTTGTGACGGGCCATTCCCTCACCCAAGGTTCCTAGCAAATGACTAGAAATTCAGTTCCAAAAGTCAGTTCAGAATTGAAACAGATCAGAGGGCCTGACCATAAACCCGAAGAACATGCATAAAGCGTTCGGCTGTCTGTTCTTTGATATTTACGTGAATAATAAGCACTGAGTGGGAACCGTCCTTTTCTGCCCACTAATTTCTCAGTACAAACAATTTCACGAAGGAGTTCTTTGTGATTATTCAAACTTCACGTTCGTGGTCTCTCGTGCTTATGCGAATCTTGTAACCGGATATTTGAAATGTGTTTTGTGCTTCGAGCCGTTCAAGGTACAATATTTCTGACTGACCATTTCTCTCAAAACTAAAAAAGTAGTAAAGGTATCCCTGTAACAGGCCGTGGAGGCCCGTAGGGTTGTGAGACGTCAAGGCTCCCATATTTTCTAGACAGTCGGCTCGCAGATGGCGGTGAGGTCGTCAGCCTTAAGCGCCGGCCGTCTCTTAACTACAGGGAGATTCCTGGTACTCGTTTCTGTTAGAGGCTGAGTCGACCCCTGGGCCATAGTGCTGCTGGGAGGATTAGATCAATTGAAAATCCAATGACATCAGGAATCGGACCCCGCGAACTTCTGATTTGTAGCATAATGCCTCAACATGAGGTTAATTTTTCTTGTTGAAATTTTGGTTTCCATATCCTATCGCCATTTATACAATGTAATATTTAAACCTTAATCGTATTTTGTTATGTGTTGGAGCGTATGAACTTCCATTAGCTTTTTAATACAAATTAAATTGTTAAATCACTGTTTGTTTACATATGTAGGCCTGACTGAGTTTATATATTTTGTTCTAGAGCAAAGATCTGAGAAAGTGAAAACTAACCGTTAGATGCAAGTGCTAAGTCGTGGTGCTTATCTTTCAGAGTGTGAAATTATTTTCTCTTGTGTTCTTTTCGATACATAAGAGCAATGAGCGGTCGTAACGGGAAAGAACGAAGATAATAATTCAGTGTGAAGACTGCAGTTTTCCTAGTACGTGCAAGTAGTTCGCCCGGTACGTCTTTACGTGCTGTATGTGCAGTGCCTTGCGTGCAACTTGTTGTCAAAGCTGTTTGCTAATACTCACTGCATTTGCCCCGCGCGCAAGAAACATATTCATGCTGTGGTTGTGTCCCTACCTAGGAGCCACGGAGCCACACACTCGTTGCTCTCTTTGGCACTCTTCAGGATGGTCTCGGGGAGTGGCAAGGAGTGGCGGACCATGGCACCATACAGCCCGTACTCCGCCATGATGGTACTTCGTCCCCAGCACTTCTCGGTTTTGCGCCATTTCGCCCGCCGGTTCTGGAACCAGACCTGCGCACAGAAGGAGAAACAGTTGTGTGGACAAGCGCAAAAAAGAATATAGGTGTACAGGTGTACATAAGTACCGAGATGTGAGGGCTAAGAGAAGGCGCGAAGGTAAAGCTCTACGCATTCTAGGTTTCGTAATAACAATATGCACCACTCTCTGTCCAAATGAACGCTTCTCAGCAGAGCCGCTCTGGGCGCAGCGGCCAAGAGAAGAACTACAGTCACTCTTCTAAGAATTGAAATAAAGTTTTTCGCGTCGGATAATCTTAGGAGAGTCAACGAATAAGGGCTTTTCGCTCCCTTTGTGTTATTCGTAATTTTCTTTATTCATTCGCGCATTCATTCATTCTGCATTGTGGGATGACAAATAGGACACGCACGTCGTTATAAGCATCCTGTCGCAAGTCGCTGCATAACGGCGAGCCATCGCACTGACTCACCCTGCCTGCGCCCCTGCCCGCAGGACAATAAAGACGGCTCAACATTATTAATACTGGCCGGGCTCTAAGCGATATAATTGACTTTCCACCCTCCCCTGCCCCGCCCTTGATGAGTGGAAGCTCTAATCTCTCCACCGGTTATACGCAGTACAGACGTGAAATGATTGCTTACCGCGCTTGTATCATCCACTTTCGGATATAAAGAGACGAATTAATTAACTCGATGGAGCACAGTCTCGAGAAGCTGATAGTCATCGAGCAGGTCACTTCTTATAGGTTCCGAAGGTGCATTATTGCGCTCAAAGCAGCACGCTACCTTATTCTACCCCAAGCCCATTGGCACAGGAAAATGTTCCAGAAATTCTCATATCTCCCACACCTGCTATATGTCCTGTCAATCTTACCCTCCTTGGCGTGATGCCTTAACAATTATTGGCAAAGAGTGTAAACTGCGAATCTCTTTTCCCATTGGAGTTCGTTCTCAGTGCCTATACTCTTCTGAAACGCGCTCAGTCTGCGGTGTTCTGCCCTTGGGCTCACGCACACGTATCATGTCACATGGAGGCACAGCCTGTATCTTTATCCCTGACATTTAAACCAACGTATGTCTCTTCAGCTATGACGTTAAAACTAGCGTTTGTCTGTTTAGCCATAATACTGCTACTTGTATGAGTGACTGTGGACGGGGTTTGGATTGGAGATTGATTTATTGACCACTTACAGATCGAACCTACAAGTAACTATAACACTATCGCTATTCTCCACACTTTACAGATCACTGCAGCACACGCTAAGCCTTCTCAGTCTGATTTCGATAGTCGTTTCCCGGTTACGGATCTTAATAATGGAGATTCTTCAGCCTCTGTGCTCACGTCGTTACTGTTCGGCGAATATTCCACAACTCTCATTGCTTCAACTGACTAACAGTAAAAAAACAAATTGTAAAGGTATCCCTGTAACAGGCCGTGGAGGCCCCTAGGGTTGTGAGATGTTAAGGTTCCCACATTTTCTAGACAGTCGCTCATAAATAGCGGTAAGGTTGTCAGTCCTACGAGCTGGTCGCCCTTTACCCCCAAGAATATTCCAAGAATATTCCTGATACTCATTTCTGTTAGAGGCTAAGTCGACCCCAGGGCCATAGTGCGGCTGGAAATATTAGGTAAAGTGAAAAGAATCCAATGACCTCATCGGGACTCGATCCCACGACCTTCCAGCTTTTAGCATAGTGCCTCAACCAACTACGCTACTGCGACTGATTAACAGTATTTACAGATTAATGTGAGCAGAGATATCGATAACAAATTGAGTTTATCTGGTTCTGCGCCTGCGTACATCTCTTACGTGTTGTCTTGGGTAGTGAGATACCGATTTCTGTTCTCTACATGTGTGAGGACACAGCGGAACTGAGGTGAGCTCTGAAGCGAGGAGCAGATCCACATCGAATTGTCCGGCTCACGAAGCTAAAAAATTTCTATCCATGATAATGAACGACCACGTGACATTATCTAGAGTAGGCGAAAGAGGGAAGGGGGCTCCAGTCAGGGTTGCCAACCATAACACCTCTGAATAAGGAAGCGGCTTTAATGTCTTTGGGTCTGGAACAGAATTTCAATTAACAGTTAACCTTCTGAAGCTCCGAGTTCGTCTAACTATTTGAGAATTCAGTTTATTCCTCACAGAAAACAAACTCCACCTCCGTCATAAAGACAAATCTGTTAATGCTTCTTATTCTAAGAATGAAATGTGTGAATACGTTGTGTGGGCGTAATGTAAATAATTCTTTAATATTACAGCAGGTGGTACATTGAGTAACCACCGTGCTTTAAAGTGTAAATTGTTTTATCGAGGTTTAATTGACGATTGTAACATACTCTTGTACTCTTACAACAGATAAGTCTGTACTGCCTGTGACAGGCTGGGAATGTAGCTAGAATAGGGAGAGTGGATTCATAGGTGCAGAACTTTTTGGGAGAAATATCTTTGCAACATGCACTGTGAAGATTGGGACGAAGATGGATAAGGTGAAGATAATATTGTCTCTATGCTTAATTAAGACCTATACAGTGAAGACCTATGGGAGATTGAGGGTATAATTGCATGCATTGTTAACCCCTGTACAAGATGGAGAAAATTTGTCAACTTCATGCTCCGGTCTTTTTACTCCCCGGTAGAAAGCCCCGTATACCAACTGGATGGGAGGCTGGACAGGCCCCAGAGCAAGTCAGGAATCGAAGTCACATACTCTGGTCATCCAGCCCGGACCTTGGTCAGCATACTTCCTGAGCTATATTCCATCTTGGAGGGAACACGGTTAATTGAAGAGATATTGCCGTTCAGGAATTGTTGACACGGGAACGATCATTACGTTCCACAGCTATAATTCTGGCCTAGACTAACCTTACACTGTTTCGTAGCAATCCGGGGTAGCAACGTGTCCGCGGTTGGTAACAAAACAAAGCGAAGTACACAAGGGGTTAGTGGCGGCCTGTCCCAGCAGCCAGACGGCCTTCTCTCTTATTGTTATTCTCTGGAGAGCACGTGCCTTGGAAACAGGTGGGGTGAGGAGATGCAAACTGTCATTTTTTTTAAGGCGACCAGATTGATCCACAGTAACGAGGCAATGTCTCCCCATTATTGGGCTTTAGTTAACATTTCATGATCTCACAGTGTGTACACAGAAGTGGCGTAATGACGCTAATGAATGCACTCGGGCTGCTGTGCGTAATGGGCGAAGGGGTGCCTCCCCCACACTGTGGTTTGCAGATGCGTTCATTTGTAACGTAATATCACACTTTTCAGTTTATTCTGCAACAACCAGAAAATTAGGCTGTCATCATATTCGGACCTTTCAAATTCGTCACTCTATAATTTTCCGTTCTGTACGTGGGAGATATCGGACACACATTATTGCCATTGTTATAAAACGAATTTAGCATCGACAGTAGACCGAAACTGGCGGTTTCTTATGCAGTGAACCCTCTCAAATCCGGTTACAGTTAATAAGAATGTGAGATAATCCGAATAGAAACATGAAAAATTAAAAACGCTCTTGACAGTTCAGTACGTGCTTTAAAAGACACGTATATTTAGGAAGGTAGATGAGTCACTTCTCTGTTCAAACAAAACTTGACCGTTTCTTCAAACTTGCATTATTACGTTCAAAAACAAGTATAACTTATGAGCCTTATATCGACGAAAAAATGTATTGTCTTTTTATAGGTTTTAAATAAAGGTTCTACAGTGATACTTGGTTATATACTTGTATTTTCATGAACACTGCTTATATCATTTGGGTGACGCATTAGCATAGTTGGTTGAGGCACTATGCTACAAGCTGGAAGGCCTCGGGTTCAAGCCCCGATGAGGCGGATTTTTATCAATTGACCTAATCCTTTCAGTCGCACTATGGCCCTGGGGTCGACTCAGCCTCTAACAGAAATAAGTACCAGGAATCTTCCTGAGGATAAAGGACGGTCGGCGCGTAAGGCTGACTTCACTGCCATCTGTGAGTCGATTGTCTAGACAGTGTGGGACTCTCAACTTCTCACAACCCTATGGGCCATTACGGCCTGTTACAGGAATACTTACATCATTAAATTTTCCATTTGTTTGTGTTCTAAAGTTTTTGTTTGTTTTAAGGCTATATTTCGCTCACTTATCGGGATTAGCGGGGATTTACTGTTACGTTAACTATAACGATCACACCCAAAAACAAGTTGACAGCAACATGTAGGCCTCGAGCCCTCAGCTCGACTCGTCCGATCCGCGCCAGACGTAAAACTCAGCTGTCGAAATGTCGACGATTTCAAAACCTAGAACTGTAATACTGTACTGTGAATCCATTGGTGTTCTCATATGATACACAAACGAATACTCTAAAAGTCAATATATCCCAATGCTATACAATTCCTATTTCTCTTACCACGTTTTCACAAGAACCAACATGTAAAATTTAGTTAATGTACAGTTCTGTCTCTTTTGATACAACGCCGCTCACTCCGTTGAAAGTCAACTGAGAGCAGAACTTGCTACTTGATTTCACACCGGTTTCTTGCTTGTCTTATCGTTCGACACTGAAGATGGAGGCGACATATTCTTCCGGAACCTCTGTTAACTTCAAAGGGCTACACGGCGTTATATCCCACATTATAAAACTTTTCATAACCACAGACTTGAGAACCTCAAATCGTACAGCCAATGCACTGTTTCGCGGCAAGCAATGATGAATGTACCAATTGCCTGAAGATGTCCTCCACAACCGAAAAATGGAGGAATTAATGAACAAATATATAACAAGCTGTACCTAAAAATAACGGAAAATTGTTCTGGAATTTGTTAACAGCAGAGACTTGTGATGATTCTTATTCCCGAGGAGCGGTTGCGTATATGAAGAGTATGGCTCTCTGGGTTCTAATTCAGAGAGAGGCCGACGTTTCGAAGGAATGTATCATCTCCATCTTCAATATCTAAGAGTAAGCCGAGAAAAAAATATGAGTATAGGCATCTAGCTGTGCTGGCTCTCTCCAAACCACACGGCGTCACAACCGAGAAGACTGCAGCAAG